GATCAACATTTCCAATAATAAATAAACCCACCACATTACAACTTCAGTAAACTAGATAACAACCCCAAAAATAAGTTTTTAACAACTCAAGTATAAGTTTTAACAACTGTCATAAAAGGAAACGATCATTAATGCCAACTTTTAAAACTCAGTTCATACAAAGATTATACTTAAAACATAAAATATAAGGCAATAATATCAAATATGAATAATAAGTAGACTCGTCTTGCAGCTTCTGTCATAGTTAACAACACAGTTAAAGGAAATAACAACTTCAGTAAAGGTATTTCCTTAAAAGCAAATACTTGGTGACAGTACTTATGTAATGCCGCACGTTACCTCCTCTAAACTCTTGACGACTTATGCAGAACGCAGGACCATCAAAAACTAGAAAACACACCGCCACAGTGATGCTACAAGGATGAAAGAGTCATATGATTTTAAAAAAACATTTACCCTTTCGAACCACCACCTTCTTGTCACTCTTGAGCAGCCTCCATTGTGTACGTTTCTCTCTTTTTCTTCCTGCCTATCTTCGTCTGATATGCAGATTAATGTGGTGCCCACGTTTTGTATCTAGTGAGGGTAGTTTCATCTTTTTATTTAACAAAATAATCCCAATTTGGTCTGATGAGACCAAAACGGGATTTTCCAAATTGGGCGGACATTTTTGGCATTTTGAAGTTGAAGTATCATTTTTTGTTTTTTTTCCCCTTTTTTTTTTGTGGTGTATACTGTAGACTAGCCTTCAGCGTAGTTATCCTCTTTTTGAACTAGTTTTTGTATTATTTATTTTGAATTTAGTTTGTGCTTGATACGTTGAACATGCTTTCAGTAAATTTCAATTGCTTATTTCAAAGGAGACTCGGAGGAGGAGAGACAAAGATAAAAACTGAGGGAGGTGGTGGCAACTGACTTAGGAAGTAGGTCTACCCAGATGCCAAACTAACGGATTTGGTAACGGAAGGACTGATATAATTAACAAAGCAAATAATAATGATTTTATAAAAAAAAACTATAAAGATCTAATTCAAAATTGAATGAAATTCTAAGGATTGTTAGATTAGTTTTCCCAACACAAAATACCTAACTAACTTTTATATTAAGAATTAGAGCCAGTAGCATTACAAGATTTTAGGCTTAATAATAGCCTTTTTTTAATAATTACTCGTATAATATAAAATTAATATAAATAGAAATGCGCAGACACTTGTAAATGATCATCTACGTACATATTTCATTCGGTTTGTGCAGCGATAACTTTAGTTTTTCATATCATGAGGACAATAAATGTTAGAATTTATAATTTAGTTTTTGTGAAATTTTCAAGTTAATGAAGATAAAAAAAATATAATACAATTTAATCCAGTTTTCTTGAAGAATATAGTAACCAAATATATGTGGGAAATGATGCTACAATTTACATATTGATTTCAATTTACGCGTTGCATGCACTGTTGGGCAAGATACGGTGGAGTATTCGATGACGTTGATGGCCAACAATATATAAAAAAAAGAAGCTAAATTGTATGTTTCCTATTTGGGGGAGAATGTCAAGGATGATTAGAAGGGAAGTGTGTGTGTGTGTGTGTATATATATATATTTATATATTTATTTATTTATATCTTTCTTCGAAGAAGTTTTAACTGTTCTTGTATTTCTTGGTTTTATTAATTCTTGTAGACTAAAGCATTAGAAAATGCCTACAAATATATATAAACATGTGCATATTTTACTGGTTCATATCTACTTTTATTTTTTGAAAAAAATATTTTAATGTGTATAGAATAAAAAATAAACATAATATATATCAGTTTTTCAAAAAAAAAATTTGTTGTTTCATATAAAAATCATCATTTAAAAATTTTATATATAAACCGTTGAAACCATATCCGGACGATACCGATCTCATCTTCGTGATATGAAATAGCAAAAGCCATATGACAAAGTGGAAAACTTAGTTGTTATTTTAGAGGAATTTTTTTACTTTTTTTTTTGGGTACAACTCAGAATATTTCTAAATTACTTTAAACTTAAGACTAATTTCTATCAGGTCCGAAAATATTAAAGTTAAAACTCTTTCAATATGTACACTTATTAGAATTCAAATTTGTATTATCCTTCTTACGGAATAAGACTGTTTATCATTTCAATACTTAATTGCTTATAAACTTAACGCTTGGTTAAACGCTTTTTATTTATTAGACTCTATTTTTTAGTGCGTGGCCACATAATATATATATATATATCTCCTTTTCTTCCTCTCTCTTTCTTGCAATGCGCTAGATGTGTCACATTACTCTAATGATCTAATCTCTGCTGATAGTATTAATAACCCGAATCCAAACCGGAACCCTTGTACGTTCATCCCCATCCTCTTTTATTTTACTACTTCCGGTCCTAATTATAAGAGACAGTTAACTAATTTGAGAAGATTAATGAAATAAGTTGAGTTAGTTATTTATCCTAAATAGGTGTTGTCTTTCCTAAAATATCCTTGCTAATCAATTGTATTGGCTAAAACTATAATTATTAGAAGGACTATCTTAAAAAAAAATAAATAAACATAAGAGACAAAATGGATTGTGATATTATATTTAGGACCAATATAAAAATTAAATAAGATCTTGTATTAAGGACCGGAGGTAGTATAACATAATTACATGGCAGCATTGCTACTCCTCATTTGGAAATGGGAATGGAGATCTGCACAAGAAGATGCCAAGGGAAAAGGGCCATAATAATAACTTGAAGAACAACGTACGTAGAACCCGAGAAGGATCAATAATATATGCCAAGAAATGAAAATAAAGGCGAATTTCACGATGAACAACGTTTTTAACATAAATAATATAAATACGTGCCTAGTCCTCCTTCATCAACACCTTCAACTGCTCAAACTTCAAAATTACAACAAACCAAACTTTATGGCTTCCTCCATTTACAAGATGCCTTCCTTCTTCACTGTTTTCCTCAGCATTGCCCTCTTGCTTTCATCTTCCAACGGTTTGTATGCATATGTGTAAATGTTATATTTGGGTTAATACTATTTTCAATCCATAATTAAATTTGATCTTATTTTGGTTTTGATCTCTGAAACTAACCAAAAATCTTTAAACAGACCAAAATAAAGTCAAATTTTATGAATCAAAAGTACTAATTTCTAATTTCAGGAACTGATAAACTAAAATGACAGCGTCAAATACGAGGAACTAAAGATAATATTAATCTGTTATATATATTTCAAGTATTTATATTATTGTCAAAGAATATATATATATATTAACATATGTTGGTGTGCTTTGACTATTATGGTTAATTAATGGATGCTTTTTTCTAAATTTGTGTCATGTTTATACATATGCAGAGAACAATAATGTTGTTGAAGCAGATGGACTTTGTTCAACGCGTAGCAAGACATATGAAGGCTTTTGCAGTGACAATGGGTCTTGTAATGATACGTGTCTTAAAGAAGGTTCTGTTGAGGGAAGTTGTCACCTCCAAGTGGGTTCTGGATATCTTTGCTTTTGCTTCAACCGCTGTTAATGATGAGCAAAGTTTTATCCGTCACGCGCCTTCCTCATGCTCATATCATCTCAAGGAATTATATTCTTGTTAATTGATGCCCTCTGATCTGATCTGCGAGGTTTCATGTGTCTGCAGATCGATGTTTTTCTTTGTTTTTGTTTTTGTTTTTTTTTTTGGGTTGGTTTATTTCATACCAAAGACTTGTGTAAGTGTCAGTGCAAGTTTGATACTTAAAAATAATGTTTTGGTTTGATTTTGATGGTTCATTGCTTGCTACAAAAACTGCTGTTCAATGTATACGGAAACATACATATCTTGGACCAATGCATTTTAATTACTACCTCAAATCCTAATTATAAGAGCCAGTTAATTAATTTGAGGAGATTAAGAAAGTAAGTTGAGTTAGTTATTTGTCCTAAATAAATGTTGTTTTTCTTAAAATATCCTTGCTGATCAAGTATATTGGCTAGAATTATTACTGTTAGAAGGATTACTTTGAAAAAAAAAGTATAAATATGAGAGACAAAGTAGATTGAGGTCTTATATTTATGATCAAAATAAAAGTCAAATAGGGTCTTATATTAAAGACCGGAGATAATATTTGATAAGTAGCCTTTCAGAGTTAACCAAGTGTTTACAGCATGTAGAAAGTTTTATTCTGAGTACTTACATGAAATTATTTTTTTTAAAATAGTAATTTTAAGATTACCAAACGTTTGGAGAGTATCAGGTCAAGAAAGCTAATCTAAAATAAATTTTTGTTATTCTTTTTAATTTTCGAGCAGACACTGCATCAAATCCACGACTCCCTACTTATAAAAGAAATATAAAAAAAAACTTAGGGGTAACAACTTAAAATTTTACTACCTCTAGTAGTTGATATAAAAATTTGTTTGATTTTTATTTTAGTCTTAATGTAATACCCAAATCCACTTTGTTAGGTTATTGATATAAGAATTTGTTTGAATTTTATTTTGGTCCTAAATGTAAGAGCCAAATCTACTTTTTCTCTCATATTTATCTATTTTTTCCTAATATAGTCTTTATAATAATAGTAATTTTATTCAATATTTGATTAGTAAGGATATTTTAAGAAAGACAATGCCAATTTATTACAAATAACTAAATAAACTAATTTTTTTAATCTACTTAAATTAATCAAATAGTTTTTATATTTAAAAATGGAGGTAGCAAGTGAAATCGAATTTACTACCTCCTAATTACAAAGGAGCATCTATGCCATTAGCTTGGTTACACAACTATTTATTCATATATGACAATTTCATTTGCCGTCAGAATTTTTTTTTTAAATTACCAAAATCGTTAGTGTTAGTACAAAAAATCCAAATATTTAAGATATTGAAATTTCACTCCCAAAAATATCAAGTTTAAATAAAAAATAATTACTAATTATCGTAATTAACAAATGAAAGACTTTCATTCTTGAATGCCCCTTTTGCCCTCCCACTAGGAAAGGGACGCGACCCCGACGGATTCAGCTTCTGTCCGGCGTCTCGTCGAACTTCGGAGTTGCAGTTTTCATTAGCCGCCGGCAGGCAGACGAGTTCAATCCGGCTATCTGATGCAGGTTTCTCGTTTCCTTGTCTTCAATTTTATCTTGCTATTAATATTTTGTTTTGGTTAGATGCTTCAGCTTATTGGCCTTGGCCCTTCAGAATTTTTGGTAACTTCTTGGACCATGCACATAGGGATAGGTTAAATACCAGTGATTAGCTACGGAACCAGCGCTTCATGGCTTCTTCTTGTTCTTTTCATTTAAATCAATAATAGTGAGAAATGAATGTGGCTCTTGACCGCTTTGTCTTGTCCGATTTCTTTGTGATCGACGCTGCCTAAATTGTCAGCTCTGTCAGTTACCATTCCATTCTTTCTCCTCTTTCGTGAATATCGAAAGCGCAAAGCTCCGATTGATTTTAGCTTCCTGTCTAAATTTTTTCAGCTCTCTTTGTCCATTGCTGTCCGTGTTGTGATGCATTTTCGGAGAATGATTTTCTTAATTTTATCTTAAATGTACAGTTATCGTGTGATTTGCTTCTTCAATTTTGGTATTCCCGTGATCACTGAAAACTCCAAGGTCTCTAGGAACCATGCCTTGATTATTTTGAATGGAATTTCTTGCTTGTAATTATGTGTGATGATAGAAAAATTGTAGTACAAAAATGGAACATAAAAAGATGGTGAGTTATCGTATTTTGCAGAGCAACATGCAGCTAGTTTGAGTCTTTGGAATTTGATTTTATAGTTTAAATCATGCAACTAATTTGAGTTTTAAGATTTCTTTTTAATATAAATGCGGTATATTTAGGCCTTTTAATCTCTTTTCTTGAATTACTTGTATTAGTTTTTTCTTTCAGAATTTGCTGAAGCTGTATAAATATTAGTTACTTAGTTTGAAGTTTCTAAGAAGATTCAGTTAATGATAGAAGAGAAAAGCAAAAGAAAAAATGATTAATAGATAAGTGGATACAATCATCTATGCTGGTTTGTTATTCTAACTTGTACTTGCTGCTAGAGTTCCATCTGTCCTGTATGTTTGGCTTGCTGTGGTGATTGACATCAGAGAAGAAGCTAACATCGTCAATTCAGAAAGAAAGAAAGAAAGGATTACAGTACTCTGCTTGGCTTTTGGATTATTTTAGTGTCTGATCTCTGCTATGAACAACAATCTGGTATTTCTTGCAAGAACTCTTGCAACAAGATTTCACAGCCCATCTACATTGCGATTCTTTTGTTCATCATCCTCAGAGTCGTCTCCTCCTTCCAGCAACAGACTCTTTGTTGGAGGTTTCTGTCATTATTCATTTCTGTATCTTGTTATGAATATGATGGGCTTTTAGACAGTTACCTTTGGCTTATGATGTTTCAGGGTTGTCATGGTCAGTGGATGAGAAGTCTCTCAAAGATGCTTTCTCTTCATTTGGTGAAGTCACTGAAGGTAATATGCGTATGTCTATATTTAGGGCTGTAGCTTTCCATTTTAATGTACTGTTGACATGAGTCTGCATAACGGATCATGTGTCTGACATGTATGATTATGCAGTCTCAGCGCTCCAGTATTCTATTCCGGTCAGTTTTTATGCAGTCTGCATAACGGATAATGTGTCTGACATGTATGATTATGCAGTCTCAGCGCTCCAGTATTCTATTCCGGTCAGTTTTTAATAGAGTGTGGTTTAGATTGAGAATCCAGTGCTTTTATTTATCAAATTGGATTTTAGGATTCCAAACTTAGGCCTTTGTACAACATAATTAAGCAAATATTTACTCGGGTTTTGGTGAACTCTATCAGAACTCTAGAGTCCGCTAGAGTTATGAAGTTATGTGCACTAAATTTAGGCTCACTTGTTATTCATAAGATGGGGGAACGTGTTACTATAAGGGATTACTCCTCTTCTAAACTGTTCGAAGTTTTGACCATACGAATATGGCTGTTTAACCATAAAAACCATATAACTCTTCTTGCTTTGGTTAGGCAGTGCATTCAATTTACTAATGTTCAGTAATTGGCTGCCTAGATCTAACCCTTTAGTGATTTTAGTTAGATTTAGCCTAGATTTCATAGACCTAGATCTAGGAGGCAGGCTTGGTTCCCTAGGCATCTATATATGTGCCAAATTCCTTGAATAAAGTTAACGGACTGAGAAAACAGAGAAGAACTCAGCTGTTTTCTACATTGCCTAATTAGGGGGTTCGCGTGAATTGGACAGATTTATCACATTTTGGGTGCAAACACATTTATTCGGCACAATAAGGGTCACTAGCTTTCTTTACACCTTTCGAAGTATTCCTTTGTCACGCTTCAAACGAAATTAGTTTTGATTTTTGCTAATTTCTACTGTAGTTTCTACATCATCGGCTTCATTTTCTTGCAGTGAGGATAGCATATGATAAAGACAGTGGTAGGTCTAGAGGGTTTGGATTTGTCATATTTTCGGATGAAGATAAAGCCAAAACTGCAAAAGACGCAATGGATGGCAAGGTGAGAAGCCAATGTATCTCAATCTGGAATTACAGAATTTAGTACTACCTCTGAACTTTAATATAAGAGCTAGTTTGACCTTTAATTTGATTCTAAATATAAGACTTCAATCTACTTTATCTTTTATATTTATCTTTTTTTTTCAAAGTAATCTTTGTAATAGTTGCATATGTTAAAGGTTCTATCAAATGATAGTTCTAACTAATAAACATGATTAGTAAGGTTATTTTAGGAAAAATAACATTTATTTATTACAAATAACTAACTTAACAAACTTTCTTAATCTATTCAAATTAGTCAACTAGCTCTTACATTAAGAACCAGAGGTAGTAGGTTTTTACTATCCGATTCTTCAATAAAATCATAACAAATTGATATTCTCCGGTATTGCCATGCATGTCTTGGACTGGACCTTGTGCTGTTTCAAATAAGTTAAGAACAAGCAGCTAGGAAACTTCGCTTGTCTTGCATTATATCTCATTATTATTGCCCATTGAAGTTCCTTCTGTTGGTGACATTTTGCATGCAGGCACTCTTAGGAAGACCGTTGAGAATAAATTTTGCTCTTGAGAAGGTCCGTGGGGGACCTGTTGTAGTTCCTCGGATCTCAGATATTGGACACATAAATAGGCGCGGCACTTCATCTAAAACCGGATAAGCTGTAATTTGCTACTCACTCTGATCCTAAATATATGACTTAATTTGAGGATTTATTTTGATATTAAATATAAGGCTTCAATTGATTTTGTCTTTTGAATTTATAATTTTTTCCAATTATCCATATTCTTTGCACGTATGAAGGTCTTTTTTTTCCCCCAATCAAGAATTAGTTTTAATGTGAATCGTTAAAATTGCATTTTAGGAAAATCAATGCATATTTTTTCACAAATGATTAGCTGAACCTTGTGATGCCTAATTTAAGACTAAACTAGTATCAAAATTCTACTGAACTTTACATATAACTCTCTTGGCATATTAAAGTTTAAAATTAACCTAATTTTTAATTTTTAAAGCGTAAAATTCATGCGTTAGTTTTTCTTGTTAACTACTAGCTGAGATTGCCACTTCAGATCAACAAGGTAGATGTGGCACTTAACATGAAATAAAAAAAATTATCGAGTATAATCCTCATTCACCTACGTGGCAATCTCAGCAAGTTAACAAACGAACTAATGGCAGGGTTCCAATTAAATATTCACTCTTTGTAACCTGCACTGGTATCATCTGTCCTACTACTCATATTTAGCCGGTAATTTCAATACTTTTAATAATAGGGATCTCAATTCAATGCAATAGCTGACACAAATGACAAACTACCTGGTGATCCATAAATAAATTCCTTATAACTTAAGTTTTTTTTTTTTTTTTTTGAAAAAAAAAACTCATCATTATAATCCGCAAGTTATTACAAACTTCTCACACAATCGTTTCCTATCTTGCGATTTAGGATAGAAAGTAGCTCTAGGAAGCTAAAGTTATAAAGTTTAGCTCTAAAGTCCTTCCCTATGATGACTCTTTGCTTAAGGAAATCTGGAGTATTGGCGTAAGTCGCATGAAACAATGTGAAATAGCAAAAAACGCGATCTTAGAAGGCTTGGAAGGCTACGATATTTTGAGAGTTAATTTAGAAGAGTTATGAAAGAATAGAAGAAAAGTGTAAGTCTGGCTCTGATAACAAAATTGATTACGAGTAGTTTTAGGATTTTTATTTCGAAAGAAGCAAACTTGAATGTCGATCACATTACAGATATCTTGTTTTCTCTCTTAGTTTTTTCTTATATGTTTCTCTTTCTTTCATTTCTTCCCTTTCCCTCTATTGTTCTCCATCATCTCCTTAGCTTGTTAGGATCTTGAGTATGTCGGAAACGGGAATGTCGATTCGCTTCCAAATCAGGAGTTAAAAGCTTCTCACAGTGTGTGTTAGAGATTTTTTTTTTAATTAATACTACTACATAGGTTTACAGTAAAAACGTTCTGAGAAAAAAAAAAAAACACAACTAACAACAAGCAAATCATTATACTACCTCCTGTCCTAATTATAAGAGCCAGTTGACTAATTTGAGGAGATTAAGGAAGTAAATTGAGTTAGTTATTTGTCCTAAATAGGTGTTGTCTTTCTTAAAATATTCTTACTAATCAAGTGTTTTGACTAGAACTATCATTGTTAGAAGGGTTACTTTGAAAAAAAATGTATAAATATGAAAGACAAAGTAGATTGAGGTCTTATATTTAGGACCAAAATAAAAGTCAGACAAGGTTTTATATTAAGGACTAGAGGTAGTATTAGATATACTGAAAGATGATTTCTACATCATGTACGTAGGAAGGTTTATAGAATATGACTTGTAATTAAAAGATAATTATGATAAGCAATCAACACCAATGTTAGCTTCTCTAGTTATGTGATCAAAGATTATAGTTCACCACATATGGTAAGGAATTGAGCTTCTTTGATTAAAAGTGATTCAAAGGGTGTCTACCACATTAAATTTTAGGGTTCGAACATAATGATAGCAAGACCTCAATTTTTAGGCCAAATTATACCAAATTTCGGCTATAAAAACTCAATCTGGTTTAGCAAGTAATACATATAAACTAATTCTCTGATTAGTTCAGATAAGAGTTTTGAATCGGTTAACCAAGTTAGATTTTATTTTATTTTATTTTATTTTTTCTATTCCTAGTTTAAAATAATATCGTTTTGAGTTCAAAGAATAAAAAATAGAGTAATCCATTATATTGGTGTTTTATTAGCTCTTTTTTGTGGGATTATGTGCGGTTTATATTTGAATATTCTTTTCATTTGTAAATTAACATATTTTTATTCAAATACTATTGTTTTAGTTATATATGAATATATATTTTAGTTACAATATTACATTTAACGATTGGCCTTATTTAAGTTGATCCTGATTTGAACCAATGACTCTTGAATTATTATTTTGATTGGTCTGATTTTCAGCACCCTAACAAAATATCTTTAAGACTTCATGTCTAATGTAAGTAACTGTTTTAACATTTAAAATTTTATAATAAACCTTTGTGAACTTTTATATTTAATTATTTATTTAAATAAATCCCATACTATCATTTTGATTTATTTGCAAATGATTTAAAGTTTAAAGAATTTATCGATGTGTAACTCAAAAGGAATCAGAATCATATCTTATATGCATTCAAAAATAGCGTTGAAAGGAGTATAAAATTGACAATTTGAGGTTAGTTGCATAAACTTAAAAGTTTAGAGAATTTTATTATTAAGTTTTAAAAATTATAGAGTTTATTTGTATGTGGTTTTAAGTTTAAGAAAACTTATTTAATTTTACTTTTTTTAACACAATAACTTTGTACTTTGCCATTATCAGCACTGTTTGTATATATGAGAACCAACATTGTTTTGGTGGGAAAAAAAGTGTATTTTGTATACTATGGATAAATTTTAAAAATAAAATAAATTACCACGACTCAGTTTAAATTGCTAAGAGGATCTTATCTACCTCCAGTACTTAATAAAAGAGTTAGTTGACTACTCTAAATAGATTAAAAAAATTAGTTAAGTAAATTATTTATAATAAATACATGTTGTCTTTCTTAAAATATTTCTTGTTAATCAATTGTATAAGTTAGAATTACTATTATTTCAAAGACTATCTTAGGAAGCCATAGATAAATATAAGAAATAAAGTGGATTGGAATTTTATATTTAGGATCAAAATAAAAGTCAAATTAGCTCTTATATTAAAAACTAGAGATAGTAATAAATAATATTAATACCGTCTTTAATATAAAAGTTAGTTGACTAATTTGAATAGATTAAAAAAATTATTTAAAGTAGTTATTTGTTATAAATAGATATTATCTTCCTTAACATATTCTTACTAATCATTTATATTAACTAGAAATACTATTTAATGAAACTTTTTAATTCGTGAAACTGTTATAAGGATTACCTTAAGAAAATAGATAAATATGATAAACAAAATGAATTGAGATTTTATATTAAAAATGAAATTAAATATTAAACTAATTCTTATATTAAAAACTACTACTTTTGTCCCTTAATATAAGAGTTTGTTTGATTTTTATTTTGATATTAAATATAAGATCCCAATCTATTTTGTTTCTCATATTTTTCTTTTTTCTTTTTAAATAAATCCCTGTAATAATGATAGTGCTTGACTAATAATAATATTTTAGGAAAAAAACACATATTTATTATCAATAATTAATTTAACTAATTTTTGATTTATACAAGAACATCCTGAGGAATGTGAAGATTCTTGACCATGTGTGATTTGGAAATACACGACACTGCCGTTTGGGCGATCGCAAAACGGCGAGAGTGCCGCTACATATAAAACCGAAGATTGGTCCATCGTCATCGAAAAAGTGATGCAGTGAAGCGGACGCTTCTCTGTAACTGAGAGGCGAGAGCTCGGATCAGGAACCTTCTTCTGCCATGGAAGGCGAATCGGTTGGAGACAATGCGTCCCTCATCAACTCCTTCTGCGAGATCACTTCTTCTTCCAAGGAAGAAGCCGTCTTCTTCTTGGAAAGCCACAACTTCGACCTCGACGCCGCAGTTTCCACCTTCTTCGACAATAACAACAACGGTAGTGTGAATAACAACCCTATCGAGCCCAGCGTTGCTGTGAACGATAACCCCAACAAAGCTTCGTCTCCTGAATCTCCGTCTGAATCCCACTCCCCGGATTTCTCGCCGTCGCAATCGCCTTCGCGATCTCGGTCGGCTTCTCCGACTCCATCCCGGGCTCCATATCAACTCCGATCGCGGGGTAATCGAGGTAAGGCTGCTGCGAAGGCCTCCGGAAGCCGTTCGGGGAGAATTCGGACCCTTTCTGATTTGAAACGATCCGTGCGTGATAGTTCTGATTCTGAATCTGATGAAACCCAGGAATACTACACTGGAGGGGAGAAAAGGTATCGATAATTTTAATTCTCTCTTATTCTGTTTGAAATTGTATTAATTTCTTATGGGGTTTGTGACTTGGGATTTACGTTGGAGCTTAATGTTGGCAAATGTTGCGACTTGACACTGGAAATCCTGAATATTTGTCTAATCTCTCTAAGATACCGATGTTATTGTGGTTTGAAATTTCAGTAATTGCACTTGCAAATTCTTAACAACATGGGTGAGCGAAATCTTTCTCTTCATGTTGCTTAGTTTTAAGATTTTCTGTCTCTGATTGTGTTTGTTAGAAACTATCTAAACTATAACTCTGAATCGTAATACATTAAGTTGTCTTACGTCGCATAAAATTTGGGAAACTGAACGTTGGAAAGATACCGATATTTCATTTTGATCCCTTGCTTGTTGTCGTTCCACGTTATCCATTGCACTTAATGGAATAACATCATTTTGAAGAGTGATGTCTGATGGCACAATAATCTGAATCTAAGTCCAAATTTGTGCCATCAATTTTGTCTTGTATTAAATAAAAGATTGATATTCTGACGATAATGGGAAAAAAATGTGTGTGGGGGGAGGCTCCATTTCAATTTTTTTATTAAAAAAAAAGGTGTAATGTGTTTTGGTGCTAAATAGAAGAATGTTCTTTCTTTCACAGGAATGTGGCTTTTTACATATATAGCTGAAATTGATTTGTTTTTCTCTTCATTATAGTGGCATGCTTGTCCAAGATCCCACCAAAGGTAACAGTGTGGATGATTTTTTCGACCAAGCAAGACAGTCTGCTGTTGATGCCCCTCCTGAACGTACTCAAAAGTCTACAAGTTTTACTGGAACAGCAAGACTGCTTTCTGGAGAGACAATACATTCTGCTGCTCCTCCCCCAGAAGTTGTTACGCACACAATCACTTTCTGGAGGAATGGGTTTTCTGTTGATGATGGACCTCTAAGGCGGTTGGATGATCCACAAAATGCATCCTTTCTTCAGGTAACTTGCACTGATTTAGAAAGCTCGTGATGGCTTTTATCCACGATTTCCAAATTTATACTTGTGTAATAAATTTATTGAGATTTATTCCCTTCTCATTTACCTTGAATAGGAGAATTCAATAATTACCAGTTCCATGAGAGTTTCAAACCTAAACTTGATTTAGATAGTTTCTAAATTCATGGCTCATTTAGTTGGTTCACTTCAAGCCCCTTGTATTCATTAGCTATATTGATTGAGTTTGATTCTGTCTTCTATTACCATTGGTACCATTATCTCTTTCCTAGTACTTGCATGTTTATGATTAGTTCTATCTTGATGCAGAGTGTAAAGAATTCTGAGTGTCCCCGAGAACTTGAACCAGCAGATCGAAGGACTTCAGTCCATGTTGATCTTATAAGGCGGGATGAAAACTACCTGTATGCCTACATCTATTTCCTTCCTCACCTGTTGTGAGATTTGTTTCTGTGCCTGCATACGGTTTTTATGTAATTACTTTTCTTTGTGCTTGTCTATGCAGGAACCTTTGAAGCCCCGGCACCTTCCTTTCCGTGGGGTCGGAAGAACTTTAGGTAGTAGCAGTTCCACCAGTGAAGCTACTGCAGAACCTATTCAAACAACTGTAGTTGGGCCTTCTCCAAACACTGCTCCATTGCCATCAATGGGTTTAATTGTAGATGAATCACAACCAGTGACGTCAATCCAGCTGAGGCTAGCTGATGGTACTCGCATGGTATCTCGCTTCAATCACCACCATACAATCAGAGATGTTCGTGCTTTCATTGACGCATCAAGACCTGGTGGAGCGAGAAATTACCAACTTCAGACAATGGGTTTCCCTCCCACAAAACTTACGGATCTGGACCAGACTATAGAGCAAGCAGGTATAGCCAATTCAGTTGTCATTCAAAAGTTGTAGGTTTGCCCCTGGTGTCATTTCCAGGCCAACTTGATAGCACCATGTTTATGATTACAGGTTGCTTTACATTTTAAATTAGTAAATTTATTCTCCAAAAATATTTTGTTGTTAGCATGCTTCTTCACAAATTGCTTTGATGAAGAGAAATGCTGGTTGACTGATGGCATAGATAATCTCTGGAATAGTCAGTTTTAAAATTTTGTTTGATCCCATGTCCAAGAGTTATTGTGTTCCTTCCAGATTCAACTTTGACATAATTAACATCAGCTAAAATGTAGAGGATCTCTTTTAACTTAATTTGTGTAATTTACCTCGCATATTTTAAAAGCTTGACCACGGGCTTCTCAGACTTGAAGGGTTGTGCCACTTCCCTTATGTTTGAATATTCATCCAGGAAACTAATAGATCTTGTCCAACGGACATGAGTATCTCTCAAGGGAATTGAAGTTTTGTGAGAATATTTTGATTGTTTTTATCACAATTGTATTCTAATTTAATTTAATGCTATCAGATTCTATTGTGATTTAGAATATTTCCCTTTTTTTTGAAAACAAATATAAACGTGCAACCAATTGTATAAAGTAATTAAAACAGCCGATATTAAGCGGCATATTACTTGGTCATGATGCCCAGATATATTATGATAGATAAAACTGACTTTTTTCAAAGTTGAATTTATAGTATGGATGAAACATACGTGGGAAAAAAAATCCTGGAAACAGTATCATATTGAGCGAAGCAAAAAGAAAACCTTGACTCTGAAATCTGAATCAAGCAAACATTCTATCTGCTTGATTTTTCAAAATTTTAACCAGTTCCCAATTTGATCGATGGGACACACTTCATTACCTCTTCACCTCTTCTACGAATAAAATCAAATCATCTGCTATACGTGATTTTACACTTCATATTGCCCAGCAACTCATCAAACACTTTTTTCAGAGAAATCACTGCAACACTATTTTGTTCTTAACACACGCCATACATATATAAATAAACCACCTGCAGAACCACCAAACATAATATGTAATATATAATAATCTATGCCTCTTCCTTTCCATCAACACCAGTTATCACTTCACTTGCACTCATCACAAGCTCTTTCTCTTTAATCTCTCTCTCTCCGCTTTCATCATTAGGGTTTAAGTTCTGCTGCGCTTTGTACTGATGCCTACTCGCTAAGATCAGAAACATTATGAAGTTTAGTACCCCAAGAATTGCAAGCAACCAATAGAAGTAATTTAACTTGCCCTTATTCAGATTGCTTCGAAGCCATGTCTTCTTGGTTACCTTGTCCACAATCGAAACCAGAACGCTACTGAAAAAGAAACCCATTGAAAGTGTGCTTAAGAACAGCCCAGTGCTCATAGATTTCATCCTCTCTGGTGCTTCTCTAATGAAGAACTCGAGTTGTCCGACGTATGCAAAAGCTTCTCCTGCACCAACAAGGAAGAACTGAGGAACTAACCAGAAAGCACTGAGCTTGGAGCTGGGATTTCCTATGGCTTCTTGTCTTCTTTCTTTCTCAACAACTGCAGAAACCACCATGGCAAGAATGGAGAAGACGAGGCCGATTCCAACTCGCTGAAGGCTGGTGAGTCCTTGAACGTTGTGAGTGAGATTTCGAGCGAGTGGGACGATGAATTTTTCATTGATGGAAGTGAAGAGAAGGATGGTGATGAAGAGGAAAGCTGAGAGTGATCCTGAAGGAATTTCTATGGATCCAAATTTTCTGTTCATGAAAGTCGCTTGCTCAACAGTGAAGGTAGTCATTTGAGAGTAGACCGTCCAAAAGAGGATACCTGTAGACCAAATGGGCATGAGCTTAAGTACCATTTTCACTTCTTCAACTTGGGTTACAGAGGAAACCAGCCATGATGAATTGCTTCCTTCTTTCTGATCAGTTTCATGTACAATCGCAGCCTTGTCAAGGAACCTAACATAATCAAACATGGAAAATAATCCCATTAGCTATGGAAATGCCAATATATATATATAACTTTCTTGAACTTTATGTTACGCATATATAACATTTTTAAATTTTGAAACTTCACAACAACAACAAAGTGTTACCCTACTAAATAGGTTTGGCTACATAAATCGCATGACGTTATTAAGTTTTATCAAAGACTAAATTTTTAAATAAATTGTTAATAAAAAAAATCTCATTCAATAACTTCATTGAATGTTTTTTTTTGGCCTTCCTTTACCCTTTATTAGTAGTTTAATTTGTTCATTACTTATATCCATGCATATATATAACTCATAGTTTGAAAGAATCATATTCACAAATAGTTATATGGTTTAAAGGGTATACAATTGATGATGTGGTTGAGGTTTATCCCATACAGAGTTGACTGTATATAGTGCATTTGGATGGACGAAAAAAATAATAAAAATGAAAATAAGATGTAAAATACCCAATATATATACCGAGAAATGTTAAACCTGTTTGATCCGCAGACACGTTATATATGTCGTTTAATGTCGTAAATGGCATTATTGAATCTTAGGTTGAAATATTGAGGGCTATTTATTGAAGTATCATTGTGTCTTTCTTTGAATTAATGTGTAGCAAGCAGTGATCTCTTGCATTATTAATCATAGAATCTATAACGTCTTAAACTTCAATGATGAGACAAACAGTATATGAATATAAGTTTAGGAAGAATTTAGAGGAACTTTGAAACATGAAAAAAAAACAAAAAGGAAAATTTGCAGGGACTAAATTGCAAATTCTTTAGGAACTAAATCGCAGGAAAATCTGCATAATTGGATAATAATTATTATTATTATTCAAAAGTCAGGGGTATTAAAGGCAATTCGTTCAATAGAAAAACGATTTAGTTTATAGTTTATTTATGATATTCAGATTTAAACATTATTTTCTATAAATATTAAATTTAGAATATTCATACTTGATTGAATATTAAATAAAAAATTTAAAAGGAACAAAATAAAAGAGATAAAAACGGAGAAAATCAAGAATTTGAAAAAGAGCTACTTTTTTCAGCATATTTTTAAACAAGGTTCATATAAATTTTGGTTTTTAAACAAGGTTGATATAAATTTTAGTCCCTTAAGTTTATTTCATTTTGGTTTTAGTGCCTCAAATTTCAACAATAGGTTTTGGTTCCTCAAGTTTTTTTATTTTAACATTGGTCTATAATCTAATAAAAACTTGAACTATTTTGTCTTCAGGGACCAAAACTTATGGTTTAAAATTTGAAAAACAAAAACTAAAATGAAAACAAACTTAAAAGATGAAAGATTATATTAACTCTTTTAGACATTTTTTAATCTCAATTTCGATTTTCTGGGACTAATAATTTTGCTTAGAAAGATTCCACCGTTGAACACCATTTCAAATCTCTCTATCATATGTATATGTAATTTGAATTTGAATCGTCCCCGACATGTCATAAGAGACCACTTCTAAAACGACAACTTAAGAAATAAAAATAAAAAGCAAAGCTTATCACTAATATCCCACACCACCAAACATGTCATATCTTCATAATTATTTGATGTGCCAATAATTGAAGATGATTACGACACTTAATTACTTGCCACCTTAACTTTACCCATGCTTTCGTTTTGAATGAAATTTGACTTTAATAACTAAACTAGACCCTATCATCACCAACTAAAATTTTACCTAACTTAATTATGCTTGAGTAATTAATTATGAACGATGTAATAAACAAAATGCATAAATACAATTAATGAATTATCTCATTCCCTTATAAAACATAGGAATTATAGGATCTCACATGCCATAATTCAGAACTTATGCATTGTTATAAATTGTAATTTTTTATGAATTTTTTTTCATTCCTAAATTGTCAACATCATACTAAATATAAAAATTCTAAATCCCACATCTAATTCTTGAGAATCAATAATATATCTAAAAGAAACACGCTAAGATAGAGATTCTTGATTATTTACGTTGGCCAAAAACACTCTTGATTAGGATGCTGCTATAACTTAAAAAGGTTTCACACTTTCACTTATCATAATTTTACTGAAAGACTTGATCTTTTTTTTTTTTGTATATTTTATCCGTTATATGGATTTCTCTATGAAAATTAAAAAAAGAATTATATATGCACTATCTTAAAATGTAAAATATCAATCTACTTTATCTTCCAAATTTATAATTTTTTAGCCATTCCTATTGATTGTACATTAAATGAGAGTTTTATTAAAATTGTAGTTTCAATACAAATGATTAAAAAAGATATCTTAGAAAAACCAACAAATATTTTCTTTGCAAATAATTAACTTAACTAATTTCTTAACATATGTAATTAGTTATCTGGTTCTATATTTTTACATAATGAGTTATTTTTTTAAATTGAAAAAATCTATGCATATTTTCTACTGATAACGTGTAGCCGGGAAAATATACATACCTCAATCTCTCAGTATGAGGGACCTCAGCTTCATGGTATCCATTAAGAAAGCTTGGATGTGAGGGCAAAGGAAGGTTCCTCTTCTTCCAAGCCAAAATCAAAACCCTCCATATAACAGTTAAAGGGCTTCCTTGAGCCTTCTTGTACCTATAAAATGTGGTCCCACAAAGCAAAACAAGCACAGCAATCACCGTTGTTCCTGCTGAGATTCCATATCCCCAACCTCTTCCCACATTGTCTTGAACATAAACCAGCACTATCACAGCAAACAATGAGCCTATGCTTATGAAGAAATAGAACCTATTGAAGAAGAATATCATCTTCCTCTCTTCCTTTGGATCTGATGTATCAAACTGGTCTGATCCAAACCCTGAAACATTGGACTTATTCCTCCTCCTCCTATTGCTATGGTGTATAGAGCTGCATACAGGAGGGCTAGCTGGTTGCCAGTGGCGGCGGTGCACTCGTGGTGCTGCCTCCGGACTTGGCTGCATTTTGGAGGCCTCATGGATGGGATGGATGTGGCCAAAGTGAGGAGAAACACTCCCTAATTGTATCAAAAAGGCATGAGAGCTTAGCTAGAGATTGCTCGTACAATAACTCGAATAGGTTATATTTTGTCTAATCCTAAATATAAAAATTAGATTACCAATTTATATATATTAAGAAAATTAGCCAATTCGTTGGTACATTTTTACACTCACAGAACTAAATATATATATATCTCTTCTGTTATAAATATAAATCCATTTTGTAACGCAAATTACACTACAAAATTAGTTTTATATTTAGGACCAGAAGAGAAGTACATTAAGAAAGAGATTAAGAAAAAGTGATGAGTTTTTAGATGATTTTATATGCTACTAGAGTACAGGAAATGATAGAACTAACTAACTTAGGTATTACTTGTTCAATAAGCTAGCCCTTTATTTTTCACAAACATGGAAGTACATAATTATACGTCCGAAGAGAGATTGAGAAAAAAATGATAATTAAGCATTTAGATAAACTTTTACATGTTAATGTTGTATTAGAATTGGGATAAAGACTTAATGAGAGAGTAATATTTCATGTATAAAGTAAAAAATGATGCACATGAACACAAGAAAATTTGAGGTGTTGACATGTAATTGGATAGTGGCACGTGTTTAAATAGTGATTCTGTGTTTGAGGTTTCTGTTCCTGCCGAATTGTACGACGTAGAGACTAAATGCCCTGTGCTCTAATTTGTTTTGTGTGTTCTGTTTCTTTTTCTTTCTTTGCCTTTAAGCCATCCTTATACTATTTTACTATTTTTTTTGGGTACTTTTTTAAAATTTCGACTTGTCCCTGTATATTTCGTTTCATTTTTTTCTTATTTAATAAAAAAAGAAAATTTGAGTTTTCTCTGTATGAGAAACAATGAGTATTGTGCTAGTTGAATTGAAAAGAAGGAAAAAGAAATCATATTCTTTGCTGTTACAAAATTTCGACTACTGATGTTGTTCGTAAAATGAACATTTTTCAAAAGCAAACATCTGTTGCTTATCAAAAGAACATTGCTTTTGAAAATAGTGGAAACAAAGAATCAAACAAATTGTGTAAATCTCGTTTAAAAAAAAAAAAAAAAGGAAAACCAGTTGTACCAAACAGAACATTATTTTCTCTTCTTTACTTTCCTTATTTTGTCTTTTTATAGTTTTTAACCGTTGGAATCCATTAACTTGGGAGAAAATAATCTGGAGAAATATGAAGATTAATTAATTTCAACTTGAGATCGTGCAACTTAAGGTAATAAATAAAAAAAACAACAATAATAACAAGTTTTGCAGATTATGCATTAGAGCTTCAAACTTACCAGAGCAGCTATGGAGCCAGAGATAGCAACAGTGAGATATCTACCAAGTTTTGCATCAGCCAGAAAGCCACCAAGCAGCCCAAAAAGGTTCATAGTTCCCAGAAAGTTAGTCACAATCGTTGCAGATTTTGCTGATGGCAGATTCAAATTTCCCACCAAATATGTCACCAAGTTCATAGTTATTCCCATCACAACTATTCTCTCTGACAGTTCAGTTCCTGCCAAAAAACGAAAACAACATCTGAATGGTAAGAAACTTACCACCTTATTAAGAAAAGTCTTAGATTTGAGCTTTGTGGATGGAAAAAAAGTGATTTTGGAATAGCCTCTTCCATTTGGGGCCTAACCAACTCATACCCAGATTAGTTGACAATATCAGACATAAGATATTTTCCTTACAAAAAGCTAAAGAGGGGAAAAAAGAAGTTTTGAAACTGTTAATTTGAAGATTTTTGAACTTGTGAGCATCACCTAAGATGAGTCCAGCAGCCAACCAGCCGCCGGTGCGAGATTTGTCCGCCGGGCGGCCACGAAAATCCACTGCAGCATTGTCTTCTGCATCTTTCTTGCCTCCATGGCTGGAAACCATAACCTTCAAGATTGAACGTTTGAAACAAAGACAAACACACAAACAAAACCCATTTACCAAAACTTGAAGAAGCCTTAAATAATTACACAGTTCATCATATGCTTGAAGTGAATAAGAGGTAGCTAGCTTACCATGCTTTCTGTGTTGTGAAGGAACTAACAGAAGGCGACTATGAAAGTGTCGGTTAAAAAGAGCTATAATAAGCTCTTATTATCATGGGGAAGAAGAAAGAGCTTGATGATAAGTTTTCCGAGTAATAATTAGTTTTTTTTTTTGGTGTGCATATATATAGGTGTGTGTATGCCGTGGCAATAGGCTCCACTTGTGTTGTTGATGATTGGGTTGAAGACCAAAGCAGTAAATCTGCAAGGCATGTGAGTGCCGTATATGTTTTGGAAGCATATAGTTTCAAAACTGTGTGGTTGTGGTGGCGATATATTGGCCTACTCAAACAAACAAACTGGCGGGTCTACCTATATTCTGATTTCTGAGGTGGGCATATCCCTCTTTTTTCTTAAAAATTTTTTTAAATAGTTTTTTTTTTGGAAAAAAATAGGGATATCTCTATATAGGCGGCAGCAAAAGCATTGCTCTTTTTATTTGTTTGTAATTTTACATATAGAGAGGATTGATTTTAATGTTTTGATTCCATTTCAAATATGCGTGCGTGAGAGAGATTATTTAATAATTCGATTTTGTTTCCTTTGTTATTTAATACTCCTCCTATCTTCAATGTAAGACTTAATTAACCAATTTGAATAGATTAAGAATGTTTGTTAAATTAGTTAATATGACTTTTTTTCTAAAATACCATAAATATCTTTTTTAATTTCCTTCCTCCATCTCTTACTTGATTATTATTAAAAAAATATCAATCGAGTTAATTTAAACAAAAAACATATGAAATAGATCTTACATATAGAGCTAATATTAACTTCTCAATTAAGTCTTATATTAAGGACTGGAAGAACATATGGTATCTTATAGACTTAAATTCTAAACCTCATCTTCATGGTTAAACGTCTATCGCCCTTTTCATTATAATTATTTGTTGGCTAGCTAATTAGATCTTATTAATTATCAATTAATTATACTAAAACAGGAATAATAAATTAGTATGGCCATCAAACAATTGAAAGTAGGGGAAACGGGCAAAAAGTCATCCATTTAAAATTTTATTGGTAAGAGACCTAATAAATTTTTATACATAGTTAATATCAGTATTCTGTACATTTCGTGTAAAAGAGCACCAGTACTTTGATTTAGATCATTCTCACCAATAAAAGTTTTAATTGAAGTCCAATTTTCCCTTAAAAGTATTGAGTGAAGATTTATTACTCTTGTTTGTAATTAGATTTTAATCGTGACTCAATTAATATATTTTAAACTTTTATCTAAAAAATACTGTATAAAAATTAAATAAAAACAGTATTTTAATTAAAAATACTCTTTAGTCAACAATATGTTAAGAAAACTTATAATATTATTATAATAATTGTTATTGTAATCATTTCCTCCTTTTCCTTCTATATATGTTTATGATTATTTCTACTTCATTCTCAGTTTTCTTTGGAGGGAAGGAATCTGTCGTTGCTCAGATACGTTCCCTTGACCACACGATGAAGAGTAGCAGCTTGGTCACGGGATAATGAAAGAACACAAAATAACAAAGACATGAGAGGGCTTATTCCTAATTTGGGTCCTGACTTTACGCCATGAAGTCATTTTCATAATCAATGAAAGTATTGCCAAACGGAAAGCTTATTTGCGCATATATATGCTCTGTATCCTTTCTTTTGAATTATGTCATTCAGCTTTTGAATGTCTATCTGTTTGCTGGCTGATCCCATCAAGAGTTTGGGATTGATCCATTAGGTTAAATTTTATGATTTTCCCCTTCTTATGGAGCTTAAAAAAACATCATTTTGAGTAAAAGAAAAGAATGATTAAGGTGCAAATATGTCCCAAAAGTTTTTATTCAAAAGCGTTGGATACCTGAAAGTTTTTTTAGGAGTTAGTTTGCCTATTACCCCTTACTATTAAAAATGTTAATGGTCAGTAATATCAATATTTTAATGGTCCACACAAGTTTTTTTTAATGATAGGGGATAATATTATTACGATTTTAAACTTTTAAAACAAATTTGCTCCTAAAAAACCTTTTAGGTACTCAATATTTTTGAGTAAAAACTTCTTAAACAAATTTGTATCTTAACCTAAAAAAGAAATACTAATCTGTTAGATTTATGCTTTAGTAACTCTATTTTGTTGGATTTTTTTGAAGTTTATCGAATGTATATTAATTAATATTTTTATTTAAATATTACTCTTTTTATGATTATATATAAATATTTTTTGCATATTTTAATTAAATTATATTATTTTCGATATCAATTTTCAATACTTTGGATTGATACACGATATTGCATTACAAATTATACAATATTTCATATTATTAAATCAAATTTAAGCATGATCAGTCTCCAAATTACTGAATTAGAGCAACTCCCATTATAATATTTTGCTGTACATAAGATTCGAGCCCTCAATCTTACCTTTATCTAAAGGCAACTGAGTTTTTTCCACTTGATCAAACCACTATTTGTTTTGGTAAAAAAAATGAATCACTATTTGTCACAAAATGTAATTTAATAGACAAATATTCTAATAAAAAGCATCACTTATCGTCCCCCCAAAAGGAAAAGTCACGCCCATAACTCATATGAATCCCATATCTCAACTAACTCACTGAAAGGGATTAATAGAAGTTAAATAATAGGGTAATATTATTTTGTCCCCCCCCCCCTCCCAGCCATATGAACTATATATATGTGGTCATAAATATAAGAATTAAATAATTAATTTAATAATTAAAGTAATTATTTGTATAAAATATGTATTGATTTTTTAAAAAAATACTTTCATCAATCATCTGTTGTGAAAGTTGTCTATATTGATAGAAATTCTCATTTAACATGTGTGATTAATATAAATAGTTTAAAAGGGTAAATTCAGAAAATAAATCAAGAAAGGCCTTATATTTAGAATTTTATTTAAGATCCAAGAGATTATGGTCCATCGTATACTTCAATTTGGGTTTTAATGAATTTGCTTTTTAATTTTGCCTTGAATTATTTATTTTTCCTCCCTTGCCAAACTCTCTTATCACATTTTCCCATACATTTTTTTATTCATCATTTCTCTCATTTATTATAAGAGCATATTTAAAAATAAAAATATATTTATTATTTTTAACTAATTTTAACTTATTTTTTGTCATATATAATTTAGTTATTTATTAAAACTTACAGTAAGGATAGAGAGTGCTGTCAGGGTAAACAGGAGTAATCCGCTTGACCTACTTCTTTGAAGTTACAAAATTAACTCTGATTTTTTTTTTTTCACGTGACCCCCTGTTGATGATATGGTTGGTGGGATCCATATATCCTAAGCAACTCTCTCTCTCTCTCTCTCTCTCTCTCTCTCTATATATATATAGTCGAGCTTGCGTATTAGGTGGGGCATATATGGCACTCTACTCTTTTTCTATGTCCTCAACTGGCATGAGAAATCTGGTAAAAAAAAAAAAAGAACTGGCATGAGAAATAGTAATAATGAACAACTTTATTCTTCAATTAATCCCGTACCTTAACTGATGAGATCTTATAACTTGAACATATTACTCCATTAATTTTTAATGTAAAACTTAATTAACTAATTTGAGTAGATTAAAGATGTTAATTAAATTAATTAATATGATATATTCTTTCTAAAACACCATAATCATCTTTCATCTTTCTTATTTCACTCATTTTCTCTTTTATTTGATTATTATTAAGAGAATGTCAATGAGATTAATTAATTTGAAAAAAAATGATAAATATGTGAAATAGATCTTATATGTAAGATCAACATTAATTCATTAGGCCTTATATTAAGAACCGGAGGAGTATTAAACAAGAATCATTTGACTTCAACTTCAATATTTTATATTTAAATTTAATTTTTAAGAAAGTAATTAATTAAAGATGCATGAAAATTGCACTCTAACAATAAATTCTTTTTCTAAAATATATTTATAGCATGAAGAAAAGGCAAACCTCAAAATTTGAACCCTTCCTCCAAATTGAATTTTATTCCATCAGCAACCGTTGTAAAAAAGTTAATAATCTTACATCTTATTTATAAAAATAGTACTAATTACACTTTCTACATTATTCCCACTACAATTGGTATAAAAAAAAAAACCCATTATAAAAAAATGTTATCTTGCACTAATGATTGATTCTACATGTTCAATGTATTTCTTTCATGCAGATTAAAAGTTAAGGGGCATGATATTTATACAGTATAGTGAAGGATCTAATGCTTTAAATCTTGATAAGGTAGCTTTAAATTGAAGATGCATTATTTAATAGATGTGCTAATTCCACAATCTTCTAAAAATCTTTTGGCCAAAAAATATTCCATAATATGCTCTCTTGGCGTAGTCTAAAATATGTTACGTCCAACTAAAAGTTGTAAGCAAGTTGTAGAATATTTCTTTTTGGTCAATTTGATGTAACCACTGTTGTCTTATGAAGTAATTGGCTAAATAATACAAAAATTTATTAAACTTAAAAATATATACAAATAATTTTTTAGTATTTAAAATTTAGTAAAATTCTTGAACTTTTAATCGACGCGAATAATGCCAAATTATATATCAATTTTACACTCCTTAAATTTTATTTTTGTATGCACATAATCCTACAAAATTTTAGTTATATGCATACACAAATTTTAAATTTTAAACCATTTACAAATAAAAAATGAATAAAACTAATAGTATGGGAGTCATTTGCATAAATATAAACGCTTAAGAAAATTTAATGTAAAGTTTTAAAAGGCTAGAGAAAATATTTGCATATGGCATACAGTTAGTTTTGCTCAAAATAATTGTAAAGATAAATTCAGATGGTTACATATATACAGAAGTTGCAGTCAAAAAGAAATTTTTCTTAGACTTGACTATCACTAAATTGATATTTTGAAATCCTTACTGTCGTTATCTCAAAAGTGAATTCCATTTTGAAGAAGTTAAAGACTTTAGAGGTTGAGAATCAAACAATTCATAATAAATTAATCATATAATATTTATAATGGCCTAAAGATTCATATTGATACTAGCTCTACCTTATGATAATATAGATATTGATTGATGATAATATTAATTATAATTTTGATTTTATTGGA